AGCTTAGTGTCATCTGCAAACTTGCTGAGGGTGCAATCCATCCCCTCATCCAGGTCATTAATAAAGATATTGAACAAAACCGGTCCTAGAACCGAACCTTGGGGCACTCCGCTAGAAACCGACTGCCATCCTGACATCGAGCCATTGATCACTACCCGCTGGGTCTGGCCTTCTAGCCATCTTTCTATCCATCTTACCGTCCATTTATCCAATCCACAATCCCTTAACTTGCTGGCAAGAATATTGTGGGAGACCGTATCAAAAGCCTTGCTAAAGTCAAGGTATATAACATCCACTGACTTCCCCATGTCCACCGAGCCAGTTACCTCATCATAGAAGCTAATCAGATTGGTCAGGCACGACTTGCCCTTTGTGAATCCATGCTGACTATTCCTAATCACTTTCCTCTCATCCAAGTGCCTCAATATGGATTCCTTAAGGATCCCTTCCATGATTTTTCCAGGAACCGAGGTAAGACTGACCGTCCTATAGTTCCCTGGATCATCCTTCTTCCCTTTTTTGAAGATGGGCACTACATTTGCCTTTTTCCAGTCATCCGGGATTTCTCCCGATCTCCACGACTTTTCAAAGATAATAGCCAAAGGCTCCACAATGACATTTGCCAACTCCCTCAGTACCCTCTGCTGGAATGCTTCATTAGATAGCGTGTAATACTTATCACTGGGCTACCAGATCAGATCTCTTCCCCTCCCCCTTCATCTTTGATCTGTTGGGTTATTCAGGGCATCCTAGTTTATGGTTATTCAGTCTTACCTAAGCCAGTTTGAATGAACTGTTCAGGGTTCTGTGGAATACTGACTCCAGCGCTTGACTAAAATCTCTGCTGGAATGCTTCATTAGATAGCGTGTAATACTTATCACTGGGCTACCAGATCAGATCTCTTCCCCTCCCCCTTCATCTTTGATCTGTTGGGTTATTCAGGGCATCCTAGTTTATGGTTATTCAGTCTTACCTAAGCCAGTTTGAATGAACTGTTCAGGGTTCTGTGGAATACTGACTCCAGCGCTTGACTAAAATCCTACTGGGATCTGGTAGCCAAGGCTCCGGAGTGGGGGCCTGGCCCTGGCAGGCCCTGGTGGGGTGGGAGCCAGGGCTGTGCAGGCCTGTCCATGGCAGGCCCTCAAGAAGGCTGCAAACCTTCCCTTTCCCGCTGCCCCCTCCTGGCACTGGGGCTGAGGACCCAGTAGAGAGGAGTTTGGGAGCAGGGTGGCCACTTATCCATGGCCGGCAATATGGATGGAGAGCTCTGGCCCCAGCCGGCCATCATCATCCTGGTGTGATCACTCGACAGTATAACGGTTCCCTGCGGTCGCTGCCCCCTGTGGTCATTGAGAAGCAGAGCTGCTCCTGCTTTCAGTCCCCTCCCTTTTTGTGTTATGGAAAGCAGTCTGATTCCAGGCACATCCCGATTTCCTGGCACAGCCAAACCCTGGCCTTGCTCTAAGTTAGGGTGAAAGGAAGCTGCCTAATGTTACCATTTAGGAGACATTCTTGTACAAACAGACTCAATGGACAGACAGATGCACAAACTAAAATACACGGAGAGCTGGTTGTTTAATGGGAAGTTATACTATGAATCTGTTAATTATGGGAAAGTAATTGCCAGGATCCTCCTCCTTAAAATTTGTTGCATTTGCGTTTAGCCAGTCTTCTGAAACGGTCCCAATATTTCCCTTGGCTACATCATACATGCTAATTTCATAGCATGTCCCTCACCCAGTTTGGCATCCTTCAAAGTGTTTCAGTGTTCCATAGCGTCTTTCCTTGCCCATAAAAGTGACACACACAACTTTCAAGACCCTCCCCGCCCCCACATTTTTTTTTCTTTTCAGGTCACCTTTTAAACAAGAGCACAGAAGGTGGCTGTTAGTTTCATTTCCTCTCTCTTCATTAATGGATCTACTGTCTGTCTATCAATATTATCCCTCTGTAGCAGCCTTTTCTCCTCCTTAGTTAACATGGGAAAGCTTTGGTATTTTTTTCTGCCCTTATCTTTCCTGGGAATCTTTAACTGACTCTGGTGGTTCTTTGGTTAGCCTCGGCTTCCCCACACCTGCCATGGCAGTGGAGAGCTTTTATAACCTCAGATCTCCGAGCAGCCCTTGAGCGGTTTAACTGCCCTGATCCTTCCCATCATTTGAAAAAAATCTCACTGTTGTTACCCTTTGAAGTTGAAGGATCTCATTTTAGGAGGACTCAATAATTCTATAATTCTTATTCATCTGTCAGAGTTTGTACAATGCTCAGTTTGTGAACAATTTGTCCATGCTGTTTCCCATTGTCCAGTTCAGGAATCCTTGTAGGAATTCCCTCTTCTTTCAAGGAAGATGAAACAGTTGTGTGTGTGTGTGTTTCTTGAACAGCCATCTCCGCACACTCTCTCTCTCTCTGTGTCCATGTGTGCGCACGTCAGCATCCCAAAAGACAGCCCAGCCCAGGGAATTGTTTCTGCTCCAATCAGTGCCCCTTAAGAGGAGGTGCAATATTTTATACTCTTTGGGGCTTGATCTGCCAAAACACTCAGGGACTACAGTGGGAGTTAGAGTACAAGAAGCCCAGGATTAGGCCGGGAGTCTTGAAACAGTAGAATGACTTAATGCACATTTAGAATACGATGTGTTTTTTCCACTCTGCAGTTCATAGTTTATATCACATTTGGACCTGGTGGGGGTGGGAGCCAGAGCTGTGCTCACTTTAAACGTTTCCCAGACAGGACCTCTGATTGCACAAAAGCTGTAACGGGATCTCAACAATGTTTCAATGAAGCCTCTAAACATCAGCAACTTAGTCTAGTGTAGTCAGAAAGCCTGTTGAAATAATCTTAACAAGGTCACCAATACGATCAGCTCAAAACCAACAGACACTCGCAGCACTGAGCCCAGTGTATGGGAGAGGATCGCACAGAATGGACCTACAGACGGGGCCGTTACACCTCAGCAAAAGCCTCTTGATGTCAGCAGTACTGCACGTGGGGCCGGGATCTGCTGTCAAGTGCTTGGCAGAACTCAGGGCTAAGTGGCAAAATTGATTTACCTTGAATTCATCAGTGTTTAAGGCCAGAGACCTTTGCAGTGATTTAATGCAAGCCAGAGAACATTGCTCAGCAATTCTGGCCTGCAGCCCGTGCTTCCTGGGTGCGAGTTACAGCGTCCCGGAGCCCTCTCTCTCCCTCTCTCTCTCTCGATGAGATGATTCTGCTCACGCCGCTAAACTCTGTGAAGCTCAGCTCCCCCAAGAGCTAGTGCAACCACAGGCATTTAGTTAGAAAACGTGTTTTCCCATCCCTCATTGTTAGTCATTAGTTTGTGTCTCTGGAAGTGAAGCTGGCCCCCTGGAGTCCCTGCTCCTAACTTCAATAGGATTCAGATGAGAAACATCCGATTTCCCAGCTGATTGGTAGGTTTAAAAAAGAAGCCAGGGTCTGCTGCTCTGGCCTGCAATTCTTCCAGCTGGTCTGCGAGAGACCGAATGTTGAAACTTGTGTATGGCAACCGAGCCAGAAGCGGCAAGGTTAGAATGCTGAGACGTCATGTGTAGAAATGCCGCTAAGCAAAGCTGCGCCTGGCCTTGCGTTCGAGCACGTCAGCAGGACGCGTCCTGCGCTCACATGAGCACTGAGAGAAACGGGTCCCGGGGTTGAGGAAGTAGATTGTGGCCATTTGAACTCCGTAGTGTTGCTTTAACCCCCAGTTCTGGGGGGCTGCGCTTTTCTCTAGTCAGTGGCCTGAGTCTCTCGAGCCAGTGTGGAAGTGTTGGGCACGCCTTTGGGGTATTTCCACAGCATGGTGCAGCGGTGCTCACTGATGCTTCTTTTTTGGTTTGGCTCTGCATTACAGTGCCCAATGGGATGAACCATTCTCCCCCCACGCTGAACGGGGCACCCTCTCCACCCCAGCGCTTCAGCAACGGTCCTGCCTCCTCATCTTCGTCCTCACTGACCAATCAGCAACTCCCAGCAACCTGTGGGGCCCGGCAGCTCAGCAAACTCAAGCGCTTCCTTACCACTCTGCAGCAGTTCGGCAACGATATTTCACCAGAGATCGGGGAGAAGGTCCGGACCCTCGTCCTAGCACTAGTGGTAAGCGGTAACAACTGCCCGTCTCCTGGGACCACTCAAATCCAGGGCCTCCCAAATGGCCAGTGGAGCTTTCCTGGGGGCCCAGAGCTCTGCTAGTGCTGGGGAGCCCAGCAGCTGAGCCGCCGCATGTGCATTGTGCTGTGCATTTGTGGGAACGCTGTTTCCCAAGCCACTCTAAACTTGTATTGCCCACTCTCATCACTTTTCTGTTTTTCATGGTCCTCATTTGGCTTCAGTAAGCTCTTGGACTCATCTGGACGCCATTAAGCTCCATGAAATCCAGTGACGTTTGGGCTAAACTTTCCTACCTTACAAATCATAGGCCTTTTGTGTGTGCGTGTGTGTTTGGGGTTTTTAACTGGAAGGAGAGTAGCAGGTCTGATTTTTTTCGAAACCCTAATTTCTTAGGATATAAATCTTCTGCTAAAGGGACCCAAATATGCACCCCTCAGCCACCTCTTGCAGACAGAGCTTCCTTGCAACTGAGAAGTGCCTGTTATATCATCTTCGCCTTGAATCCTGTTGTAACCCTCTAGAATAAGAAGAATTCCTCATTTTCCTGATCCTGGCTGCTGATTAATTTCATTCTTATCGGCTTCCAAATGAAGACATGCCAGTTTCACACACCATTTGTTAAATGCTGTCATGGTTTCAGTGTGGTCCACGTCTATTTCCTTGCTGCGGGAGGCTGTGTGGGCTAAAGGAATGTGCAGAAATTGCAAGTTCAAACTGGCTCTGCCGCTGACTTGCTGTGTGGCCTCAGGCCTGTGGTGAGGATGGATTGAGGGTTTGCAAAGTGCCATGAGAAGGCGGTGATGGAAGTGCTAGTGCTGAGATATACAGGCCACCTTTCAGTGTGGTCCACGTCTATTTCCTTGCTGCGGGAGGCTGTGTGGGCTAAAGGAATGTGCAGAAATTGCAAGTTCAAACTGGCTCTGCCGCTGACTTGCTGTGTGGCCTCAGGCCTGTGGTGAGGATGGATTGAGGGTTTGCAAAGTGCCATGAGAAGGCGGTGATGGAAGTGCTAGTGCTGAGATATACAGGCCACCAGGATGTTTTCTGTAGCGGTTCCGTAAGGGGCTGCCTGCTTGGATGCAGGTTCTCCT